TTGTCTCTTCTGCTATGTTAGTTGCCCTTTCCAATGGTTTTCTTGGTGTGCTATGCATTGGTGGTGCAAAGTCCAAATAAGATTCATCGAATACATCTGAACTTTCTTGATCTTCTTCTACTTTTTTGTCAATCTCTTCTGCTGTTTTCTCAAGTGATTTTTTTGAATCCATAAATTTGATTTGGTCTAACAAACTACTTATTCTTTTTCTTGTCACCGCTTCATCTCCAGCTACTTCATATTCTACACGATATGTACATTCTTCATTATCTGATTCGCCTAATTCCTTCTCGTAATATAAATTATTAAGTTTGTGAAGAAGCTCTCTTACTTCTGGTGAAATTTCAGTCTTTAGATTTCTTATTGTAGTATACAATAAATCACTAATGAATGGTGTGTTTGTTCCTTGTTCCAGTTTGAAATATGTATTGATGATAATTCGCCTGATTATTTTCTGATCGTCGTCCTTCACTGTAACTCCAATCTGCAATTCAGCAATGTCTGTGTTTCCTGTAACAAAAAATACATAAAGTGCACCTTCCAATACCTGATGAAATATTTGTATTATCAATTTTGATATTTCATCAGAATTATTCTTTTTGATATACGATTCACTTTCACATACTATTTCCACCTTGATATTTGCGTTCATACAGATCATATAATACTTCCTGTTATATTCTGCTACAAGAAAACTCATGAATTTTGATAATATTACATCATTAATATGCCCTTCAGTTTTGTTAGGTACGGCTTGAAATAAGTGTATTTTATCTTGTTGTTTTGGAATGGGATGTGGTCATTAGGTATCAGAATGTTGTGGTACATTACTTCTATTTCATCTGATTCATATCCAGCACAGATAATTTCCTTTGCTAAATAAATCAAACCGAGCAAATTTTTCATGGATCATATATTAGCCTAAAAATTTAATAATCGAGTCAATTGCCATGCACGTGTTCTTGGTCTCCAATTTCTCTGAGACCCATCCACTCAATTTGTGTTTTAATTGGCTGTACCTGGAATCCATTAAAACAACTACAGAATAATCATCGTTGTCTCTAATGGATCTACCAATGGCCTGGTTTACTTTCTTCATTGCTGTATTCACAGCATATTCTTTGTCATGTTTGCATCTTTCAAGATATTCGGGTGATTTGGCGGGAAATGGAACACCTACAACAATCAAAAGTCTGCACATTTCGTCCTTGAAGTTGATTCCTTCGCTGTATTTGCCTCCTAAAACTGCTATTAATATCTGTGGATTCTTCTCAAATTGATTAAAATCCTCCTCGAAATATATCGGTTTATCGAAACTGATATTCTTCAGGCAAATCTTGAATAAATCCAATATTGATGGTACAAATATCACTGTACCACCCATTTTCACTACTGATGTAAGTGCTTTGATTGTTTTTATCACTGATTCAATCAGATGGTTTCTATTTTCATAAGTTAACAGAATGGATTGATTGTCAATTGTTTTCTCCAGAATTATTGGCAGTATCTTCCTGTTTTTGGTATAATAATTGAATGACTTGATCTGTTTATGCTTTTTGAAGATATTGATCAGTTGATCTGTTGGTTCCATTGTTCCTCCTGCAAATAGCAGTGACCTGCATCTTTTTAGTTCATCAAAATATAGTGCTGGATTCAAACACGTGAACTTGATTGTGTTTCTGTTGTGTATTATCAGTCCATTTGAATCACTATACGTTAGCAATTTGATAAATTTGCTGATGTGAAATAATTTCATGTTTTCATTCTTCTGTGCTAGTTTGTTCTCTTTAATGAATTCATCAACTTCAATCATGTTGTGTTTCTCTAGGTTTGCTTCTAAAATATAATCATTAACCAGCATTGTAATGTCACCCTGATGTATTTCTCTGAATTTGATTATTTTGGTCAATATTTCTGTGATTTCTTGATTTATTCCCCTGGTATAGAGTGCTTTCTTTATTTCATGATAGCTTATTTCTACTGTATTCAAGTCGATAACCGTCTCATAAATATTATGTGCCTCATCAACAATTAGTATCTTGTCTTCTAAATCCAAATCAATGCTATTTCTTCCTTCTGGTGTGAACAATAAATTGTAAGGTAACAAAACCATTTCACATTCACTAGCTCTGTTTTTTGTATAGTAATATGGACAAAATGTCTCACATTTCCCTTTGTTCTTCATGTCTACGATGTTGCTGTTTTGCATTTGATAGAAATCATTGTTCTTGAAATACTCACAGGCGTCTTTCTTGATCAAACTGAAACATGCCTCGTTTATTTCCTCAATATCTTTGGTTTTATCAACATTCTTGTTAATGCAATATAGCTTCCTTGAACCAAGAATTGTTGATTTGTACAGGTTGCTGTTTGTATTGAGTTCTTCCATAACCTGATTAAGTTGGCTATGCGTTCTACTGCAATAATAAATTTTGGTCTTATTTGAATTCCTTAGCAAATCAAATAAATCGTCTTCAGTCTTATTCATGTAGTTTATACTGATGATAAGAAGAGAAATCGTCTTACCTGTACCGGTTGGTGAACTAAATATTCCACAGGAGTTCGTGTTTATGGTTTCGATACCGTCTTTGATGAATTGTAACTGGTTTTTGTATAGTTTTTTGGGAAACCCGTGATTATTATTCTCTTCTCTATCCATGCCTGAAAAATTCTTTAGAAAATTTACTAAGATTGCATGATCATATTTATTTATGCAGTGATCAAGTTTTATCCCTATTGGTCCAACGGTTAGGATTCCAGACTTTCAATCTGGCGGTTCGGGTTCGATTCCCGGATGGGGAATTTTTTATACTTGGAATAATTTAACTTCTAGAAATGTCCAGTCTAATCAACTCACCTGTTGTCAGTCCAAGCACCAATTCATCTCCCATGAATGTCATTGAATATGCATAGACCTCATTCTTGCTGCTGAATGTGTGTTCTGCCACAATTTTCTCTTCAATGATGTTCCATAGAAGCACCTTGTTTGGAATTGCGATTGCAATCAGTGGCTGATTTTCACCCGATGCAATTGCTGTAATTCGCCCTGGTACATCAAATCCCTGCATAGTCTGGTTCACAGAGAGATTTACGATGTAAACACGTGAATTTCTTCCACCATATGCCATCAGAGACCCATCGTTAGAGAAGCAAACTGCCTTTACTGCCAACTCTGTGTTATTTCCCTTCAGATTCCTTGCTTCCTCTGCATTGTTCAAGTCGTAAAATTGTCCACCTAGAAATGTCTTCAAACACGTGTTTGCACTCAAATCCCATATTTTAACCAGACCATCTTCTGAACCAGTTGCAACCAACTCATCTGAACCAGGAACGAAGCTCACCGTGTTAACCCAACTCGTGTGGCCATTTTCAGCAGCACTAAACTTCGCAACCTGCTTTCCCTGCGTATTCCAAACTATGAATGTTCCATCCTGGCTTCCTGTCACAATCTTCGTGTTGGAGTTGTTTACTGCAACACAAACAATGTCTCTGGTGTGTCCCTCAAACTTCTTGAACTCCTTGGTCTCCTTGTCGATCATTGTTAGCACATTTCTCGAAACAGTCAGAATTTGGTTTCCTCTTTCAGCATAACACACGTCAGAAACCAATGACCTGTGAATTCTGTACTCTTTGATTATCTTAGACTTCTCTGATTCATCCGTGCTCAGTTTGTAGATGCAAGCTGCCTTGTTTCTGTGTGCAATCAGCAACGTGTTAGCTGCAATTCTTCTGATTGATTCTATTGGAACCTCTGCAACGCGAATATTCTCTTTTTCATGGAAGGTTGTCGTTGACATCGTAGGGTAAAATTTTGTCAAAGAAATTTGATAGAAATCAGGTTGAAAGACACGTACTGGAAGAAGGAGTTAAACTAGTGCATTGAGATGGGTATCAGAAGCATAATCACGTTATTTGTGGCTTGATTTAATTTAAGTATACTGTAATAAGACTAAATGAAACCAATCTTAGAATAGAGACCTAAAACAAGTAGACTTGAGTAAACACCCTCATCATTAAGCTTATTTTGCATAAGAATAAAAACATTTTTTATGCAACCCCCATTTTGATGACTCAAACATTGTACCTTGACAACAACGAGAATGTCGTAGAGACCAGGATGATCGAGAAGCATCCAGAGGATGCACTCAAGACACTCATCAGCCAGCAAACAATGGGAATCGTCTACAAGGACTTCTTACATGCGACAATATCAAGCGTAATGAAGCATGGGGACAATAAGCTTAAAAGGCTCCTTTACTACTTCTTTGAGACGCTGATCGAGGATCCGTCTTTCGTGATGTGTGTTAATCAGATCAACAAAGATCTGAGTTCGCCCAATGAGTATGTACGTGGATTTGCACTGAAACTAGCAGCAAAATTCACTAATTACGATCACGTGAACCTACAGGCTGTTAAAGACAACTTGAATTACAAGCACTATTATGTGAGGATGAATGGTGTGATTTGTCTGGCTGCACTTGCAAACAGATTTGATCTGGATGTAGAGAGTGATCTGGTCAGCATGCTTGATACAGAGACAAACAGCCTGGTTCAACGTGCCATATTCATTGCCATGTACAGCCTAGCAATCAACTTTGAGGAATATATTTCTGATTTTGATAGAATCAGGTCAGAAGACGTCCTTGAGTTTCTGGTTGAACACGTCAATGACTTGGAATTCCTCAAAAAGTGCGCAAAAGTTGAAAGTGATACGGTTCAATTCAAATCAATGTGCAGACTGCTTGAAATGAATGAGCCTATCAGCATAGGTAGAATGTTTGAAATATTGAAGAAACACAATGAATTTAAGGCAGATTTCACCAGATACATCTGCTTCATCAAACAGGATGTTGTTCAGTACCTGAATCTGCTGGATCCGTATGAGGTTGATTTCAGCCTGAAAATCATTGACAAATCCATCAAATTGGCTGATTCAGTCGAATACACCAAAATCTCTCAGATTCTTTACGAAAAACAGCTTGAAATGGGAACTGCCACTGAAATCAGAAAATCATTCAAAATTGCCCTGCTTGACAAAATTGTTGAGATGATCAGAAACTACTGTGTTTTTGCAGATGGCCTGGTTGCAGAAATGTTCGAGAATTTCGAATGCTCTGATCCTGATTTGGTGTACGCAAGTCTTAAGGTTCTAAATGCCATCAAAACAGACAACCTGATCAAAAATGACGATTTCAATAAGAAGCTGATTTCGCTACTCAGAACCATTCGATATGGCAAAATATTCAGGTACTGTATTGATACAATTGGTATCAACATCACAGAAGAAGAGTTCCGCCTGTTACTGTCGCAGACTTTCGAGGATTTTGATGACAAGTTGGTTTTCTACCTGAGCATCGAATCAGAGGTGTTTTTAGGGGGATATTTCTGCTACTCAATTTGCACAATGCTAAAAAGAATTCTGGAAAAAGACGTCACAAACACACCTGAATTGAAATCAAAAACAATAGCCCTATGCATCAAATTCATTGAATTTGGTAAGGAATCCACTCTAATGGATCAGTCAACCCATGCATCCATCATCACAGCCATTCGATACGTTTTGGATGACACAAAAAAGGCAGTTGAATTGCAGGAGACAACGAGCCCTGTCAAAAACAGCGCCTGTGATCTGTTTGCACCCTTAGATATTTCACTCCTCAAGAAATCCAACAAAATCAAAAAGTACAAATACGAAAGAGCCCTGGATTCCAAGACAAAAACGATTCAACTTTCTGGCCTGGGTGATCCACTCTACGTTGAGTGCAACTTGATCTACACAAAATACGAGTGCATTCTTGATCTATTGATCATCAATCAGACTGAGTTCTATTTGCCTGAATTCAATATTGATTTCACACATTCAAGACATCTCAAATTGGTTGATACTCTCTATCCAACTGGAATTCAACCATCTACAGCAGTGACTCAGAAAGTGACGTTCAACATTCTTGAATCATCAAACTCGTTCATTACGGCATCACTCAGCTTCAGGTATCCAAAACACGGTGACTACGCAAATAAGCCGTATACACAGCATTTGGGAGAAATCAAACTGGATATTCAGGAATTGTTGGAGGAAGTCACTGATGAAATTGATTTCGTAGGGCAGTGGAAGACACTTGAATGGGAGAATATCTATTCACTAACTACGCCTATAAACAACATGGATGAAATATTGAAGAAATTGGTTGAGAAGGTGAACGGGAAATTAGTCAGCAAAGAAAGCGTATTCAACTTTCTGGTAGCAAACTTCGTCTGTAGGACAATTCAGAAGAGTCTGGTGCTGGTGAATGTGTGTATGGGAGAGAGCAACCAAATTGAAATACGCGTGAGAAGCAAGGATGAAGCAGTGGTAAAGAGTATTGCAAACTTATTAGGTAATTGCATAAAGTATTAAATTTAAGCATACTTGATCAGTATCATCCAAGGTTATTTTGTTTGAGCTGCAGGTCTTTTTTGAATTCAGTCAATTTCTCGTTAATTTTCATGAATTCCCTTGCATCATCAATTTGATTGTTTTCAATTGCCTTATTCAGGTTGTTTATGTTCTGATCAATCTGTTCATTTATCATCTTAATTTTGTATTTAATCCTATTTTGATAGAAGGTGATGTTCTGTTCCCGTTGTACTCTATTCTTGTAGTTAATGAATATTTGATGTAAATCACTATTCAGAATTCTCATCTTATTGAATGATATTCTGAATTTGATTGGATCCATTGTTGTACTGAAATTGTAGGCATTGTTCTTATCAAGCAACGTGTAATTGTATATGCTTTCAATATTGCTGTTATCAAATAATTCTTCTGATTCAATGGTATCAGCAGTAAACAACCAGTCTAATACGTATGAGCATACTACCATGCTCTTATTGTACAATTTGCAGACATCAAATGCATTATACTTACTTCCTAAATGATCAAACCCGTATGAATAGTATCTTCTATTTTCCATATTGGCATCATCAATTTGAGCAATTTCTTCATCAAATTTGTCATTTCTATTGATAACACACAGTTCTGCCTGTGTTAAATTGTACTTGTTACATTTTTGACATACTTTTTCAGTACAAAGCACTCCACATAATAGACAAAAACCCTTAAACTGAGTATTGATCACAAAATCACACTTCATTTTGATTGTTTCCTTGTGTAATTTAGCATATTGTTGCTGATATATTTTATAGTAAGTTGTTAAATCATTAATCATGTGTTTGTTGCTATGAAACGATGTTAAAACAGGTAAAATACCTGGGAAACAATCAGGTGACCGATTCCCAAATATAAAACAATCATGCAACAGTGATTATAAAAGTGTTTTAGAATGACAAGGCATGGATAAAGTTGCGATAAATCCAGTAAATCAGCTGGAATACGTGAAGGAGGTCGTATCGCAAAAGAACGATCAAAATGAAATCATTTCGACTCAGGAAAACAGAATAGAGAAGGATGTGGAAGAAATAATGAATTCAGAGAGTATGACTACTACAGAACTAACTAAAAGCACCACAGAACAAATTGTCCACAAACAGAAGACTCATCAAAAGCCACCAGAGCATCTTAGACCGTTTTATTTCAACAAATTTCCAGGTCAAATTCACCTGGTTATTGAGGAAATTAGAAAGATCAATGTGAATAAGTTTGGAGACGAATTCTTCATTCTAAGGGTGGAATATCCTGACGGATACGTGGAATCACCAGAATACAGCGTAGAAAAGACGGTTACGACTGGATTTCACCTAAAAATACCAATTGCAGAGAACAGTAAGACCAAGATCAGAGTATTGGTATTGCAGAGCAAGAAGAGGAAGCAAGTGGCTACATCAGAAATCATCATTGATAACTCGCTAATCAAATCAGTTCACAATAGACTGGCTGAGATGAAGAGGATATTCAGAAAGGTAGGAGGATTCTTTGATATTTTCAGTAATGATACAAGACCTGTTGCAAATGAGTGTCGCATATTCATTTCATACCTGGCAGTAGATGAAATCCCTACAATCAACTCCATTGCGCCTCACTCTCTGCTTACTCTTTCAAAGTGGCTTGTTGCCAGGAAGTACGCCTACGATCTGCTCTTTAGTGGATTTGTGAATGTGAAAGGAGACATAAATGACACGACCAAATTCCTATGGAAGCACAGGTACATCAAGTGGTATGGATACACGCTGTACATATTCAATGACAAGACCAAGAAGCTGGTTAGTACAATCAACGTAACTGATGCAGCAGTAAACACGTCAGGCATCAAGAAAGGAAACGTGGTATTCTACATGAAACGAGAGAAGCTTGAAATACACTCAGATTCTAAAGAGAACCTAAAGAACATTAAGAGTGTAACAGGGGTGCTCTTTCCAGCCAGTAAGCTATGTAATAATGAATGATTTACTGGCCCAGTTAAACAGACATGTTCATCTTTATTGTCCCATGTGATTTGTAGTCTTCCAGAATGAAATCATCGTATTCAAAGTCTTCTAACTTTTGGTAGTCCTTGTTTCTTAGGCGCAACTTTGGGAAATCAAATGGTTCGCGTTTAATTTGTTGCTTCAGGGGCTCAACATGGTCCTTGTACACGTGTGTGTCCCCAATAAAGTGAATGAACTCATTTGGCTCCAAGTTGCACAGTTTAGCAACAATAATCGTAAGCAGTGAATAACTTGCTATGTTAAATGGGACACCTAGTCCCACATCACCTGATCTCTGGTAGAGAATGCAACTTAACTTGTTTCCATAGACCTTGAAGTGGAACAGAGTGTGACAAGGAGGTAGAGCCATCTCTTTCAGTTGCATTGGATTCCATGCGCAAACAATGTGTCTTCTACTTGCTGGATTATTCTTGATTTGCGCAATAACATCATTCAACTGATCAATTCCTTTTCCATCATAATTGGTCCTACAGGTCTCATATGCTGCGCCATAGTGTCTCCATTGGAACCCGTAAACTGGTCCCAGATCATTTGCCTCTCTGTTGATTCCCACTTTCTCAAAATATTCCTTGGTGCTATTTCCATTCCAAATTTTCACTCCCTTTTCCTTCAGAATCTCGTTGTCTGTTTGTCCCCTGATGAAAAAGAGCAGCTCTTCCAAAATTGATTTGTAGGCGACTTTTTTGGTAGTGAGCAGTGGCAGTTTGTTGTTCTCCAGGGAGTATCTCATTTGAGTTCCAAAGAGACCGTACGTTCCAGTTCCAGTCCTGTCGTCCTGGAATTCACCTTCTTCGATGCATCGCCTGATCATTTCTAAGTATTGCTTCTCCTCATGATTTGCCATTATGGGTGGTGAAAAGACTGTTTTTATACTGATATGGATGGATTACTTCGAGTTAACACACACAAACCATTTATTCTTACAAATTAATCACTTTTTAGAATAATCATTAAATCAATTTTATTAGGAGGTAAAAATACCCTATGATTTATGACAAAGTTGAATTGTACGACAAAGACGTGGATGAAATCATTAAAAGAGAGGAGGAAAGACAGCGAACTAGTCTCGAGTTGATTGCAAGTGAGAATTTCGCTAGTGTTTCGGTACTACAAGTTGCCTCTTCAGTCTTATGCAATAAGTACAGCGAAGGACAAATTGGCATGAGATACTATGGTGGTACAGAATATATTGATCAAATTGAAGCACTTTGTAAGAAGAGAGCATTGGAATTGTTTAATTTGGATCAGAATATTTGGGATTGTAATGTTCAGGTGCTAAGTGGATCTAATGCTAATTTGGCTGTTTATTTGGGACTAATTGGCAAGGAAGGGAAGCTGATGGGCTTGGATCTGCCTTCTGGTGGCCACTTAACTCATGGATTCAAAACACCAACAAGGAAGATATCAGCCAGCAGCATTTTCTTTGAATCAAAATCGTATAAGACGAACAACATGGGTGTAATTGACTACGATGAACTCGAAAAGGGATTCAATGAATTCAAGCCAGATTTGGTGATTTGTGGAGCAAGCGCCTATGCCTTGGATTTCGATTACGAGAGACTCAGGTCAATCTCAAAAGACTGCTANAATGCTAATTTGGCTGTTTATTTGGGACTAATTGGCAAGGAAGGGAAGCTGATGGGCTTGGATCTGCCTTCTGGTGGCCACTTAACTCATGGATTCAAAACACCAACAAGGAAGATATCAGCCAGCAGCATTTTCTTTGAATCAAAATCGTATAAGACGAACAACATGGGTGTAATTGACTACGATGAACTCGAAAAGGGATTCAATGAATTCAAGCCAGATTTGGTGATTTGTGGAGCAAGCGCCTATGCCTTGGATTTCGATTACGAGAGACTCAGGTCAATCTCAAAAGACTGCTACTTGATGTGCGACATGGCCCACATTTCTGGGTTTATTGCAACTGGTTTAATGAACAACTGCTTTGATTACTGTGACGTAGTAACAACCACAACTCATAAGTTGCTAAGGGGACCACGATCTGCCATAATTTTCTATAAAAAGACTAAGGAATTCAAAGACAGAAAAGTGGACGTAAAGAGCGCAATTGACAAGGCTGTCTTCCCAGGATTGAATGGTGGTCCACACAACCAGAAGATAGCAGCACTAGCAGTGGCATTGAAACAGGCAAAGAGTGAAGAATACAAGGAATATTGCAAACAGGTGTTAAAGAATGCTAAGGCAATGGCAGACCATTTCATTGAATTGGGTTGCACCGTAGAATGTGGTAAAACAGAAACACACCTCTTTCTACTGAAATATGATGGTGTTGGCGGGACTGAAATTGAGAAAGTCTGTGAGTTGGCTAATATCAGTCTTAATAAGAACTCAATCAGCACTGATAAAAGTCCATTTAGGCCATCAGCAGTGCGAATTGGTCTACCAGCAATGACAACCAGGGGATTCCAGGAGTCAGATGTTCTGAAAGCAGCTGATTTCGTTTTCAAGGCGATTTGTATTGCAAAAAGCGTCTCTGAGAGGACTAGGGATCTGAATGAGTTTGTGGAATCAATTAAAGAGAACAAGGAGATTATGGATCTGAAAAAGGAAGTTGTTGAGTTTGTTACTCAATTTCCAATTCCAAAATTCAACTACAGGGAATAAAGAGTATTGGATTACTTTTCTACAGTATAGAACCTGAATTTGTGTCCATTTTCTACCACAAACCCGTCTTTCATTGAATACTTCTCTTTCTTTGCATTGCATTCAACCACGAACTCATCCGTCACGTTTACTTTATTCAACAATGCTTCATCTTCCACTGGAAATATTCTGTCTCCAACCATTTCATCCTCTTCAATAACCGTAATAAACAGCTTATAATCTCGTTTCAATGCTTCACTGTAGATTTCCTGGCCACCTGCCACAATCACTGTTCTGTTACCAGCTGCTTTCAATGCCTCATCAAATGACTTCACGTATGTTGTTTTATCACTTTTATCATGTGTGTTTCTGCTGAGCACAATTTTGTCGTATTTCGTGTACTTGGCTACTTCTAGTGTTTTTCTGCCTAGAATTATTACCACATTTTTATCCAATTCCATAATATGATTCATAAAGGCAAAGTCCACCGATAGTCTCTTCCATGGCATTTTGGTGCCTTTTGCGATGTACCTGTTCTTGTTTGTGAATGCTACGAGGATGTTTAGTTTACTTTTTGATAAGGTTATCACTGGGTAATTTTAGGGTGTATTTTGATAGTGGAGGGAAATTATGATTTATTAATCGGAAACTTCCATTTTAGCTGCCTCTTCTTCAGCCTTCTCTTCTTTCTTCAGATTCTTTCTCATTGTGCAACAATCTTTCGTGAATCCTGATTTAAGATAAGGTGATGTTTCTTTGGTACTGAGCGCTTCATTGCAGCTTAGAATCATTTTGTAGGCACCATTCTTTGTTGAAATATCTTCAGCTTCTTTCATCAAGTAAGTAGCAAGTTCCTTCCCACGGTGTTTTTCCGCAACAATTACATCCTCAATAAATGCAGCAGGCCTGCCGTTTTTAGCATACTTTGGATCTAGAAGCACCGTAAGTGTCCCAACAACAGTTCCATCAGACGTAAACAACCCAAGTTGATGGTGCAATCCTGATGCCTCTTTTCTTTCAAATGTTTTCACAATCACTTCTTCAGTTGTTTCATCAGTGGTTGTAAGTTCACCAAATAAGCAAATGAATTCAGGTTTCTTCACATCATCAGTAGTAAGTTTCCTGATATTGTATTCCGTTTCCCCAGCAATAATCGTAGTTGCTGCACAGGTTGCACGTAATATTGAATAGATCAACATGGGTGTAATTTTCAGGGACCAAGATCGGTGATCAAGTTGTTGCGGTCTATTAAATCTACATAATCACTATGTCTTTAGAGATCTGCATATTAGTTTTGTTTGTTGACCAGCAAATAACAAACAATGCAATATTTTTGATAATTGTCAAACAAGATTAACAAAACACTGTTGTAGTTAAGAAGGAACATGACTGTACTTTTAGGTGTCAAATATCTCTTTTCACAATTCATGGAGTATGAGAGATGACAGAAAAACTTAGGTGATTTCAAGTAAAAAGATTGATGTTTTACCCCCTATAAAATATTTACGTATTTTGATATTCAATAACACCCTATCAATTTTACCCTCCAAAAATATTCCCTCCAAAATAAGTCAAATCGTTTTTCTAAGCCCATGAAAGGCAAATTGTCAGACAAAACGAATGCTACAACAGATGCAGGTGATGAGCAGAAGGGCGGACAGAACAAGACTGGCGAACAATGCACCCTAATCAACTATTTGAAGCAGAAGAAGGATGAGACAGCAGATTACAACCTGAAGTACGACATTAGCAAATGTATTGAGATACTCGAAGGAAAAGAGAATCAGGAGGTGACTGAGATAAAGGATGCACTCTACAACGTGATACTCGAGAAAGAGGAGCTGTTTAAGACAAATTGTGAATTGGTCTGTGAGATAAACGACCTGAAGAATTTCAAAGATTGTAATGGGAAATAGAATGTGGCACCTTTGATACTAAATGACTAATTTAACTCAGATATTTTGATAGTTCTTGCATTGCCACAAATTCAAGGGCTTCCTTGTTTTCAGGAAGAATATGCCTGATTAAATTTGATTCAATGTTGCGAAATATTATTCCAATCTGCTTATTCATTTCATTGGTGACTCTACCAACTGATATTCTGATTCTATTCTGTTTCATTGGTCTGTCATCTTCTTCCAATTCAGCGTATTCTGCCCAGGTTATTTTGTATTTTCCGTTTTCAGCCAACAAATCAAATAGAACACTCTCATTCTGTTTCTGATCCATAAAAACAGGATTTAATGGGATTGTTCGATCACCACAAGATATTTCAAAATTGTTTCTTGTGTTTTTGTATAGTGCACAGGAGGTTGCTATCTTGGTGCTGCTCTCAGTGCTGATTGAATTGCATGCAATCAATTCTGTTTTACTCTCTGATTCTTTGACAAACCACGTATTTAAAAACGAATCAACATTTTCAGATGTTTTAACCAAAAACATTTGGGCCCAAAATGAATGCAAAAATAGCAGCAAAACAGAAGACTGTTGCCATGATGTGTATAGGAAGTATAGATGACACGAAAAAGGCTGTTGATAAAATAATAAGGGAATTTATAGGAGAACACAATCTAAAGGTAAATACAGAAAATGCTTCTATAGAAATCAGTGGTGATAAGAAGAGAGTAGAACAAGCTGTTTGCGGACTGTTATTGTGTAAAAAGTATGATGAGAAGACTATAAGTTTCACGTTAAAATAACTCAGGCATACTGAATCAATATTAACACATCATGCGTCTCAAAAAAAACTAATGTGAACGATACGTCTTCTCGTAAATCTTAGAACCAAACGATCACCAAACCTCTCATATTTTGACAAATCAGTTGACCTGTTAAATTTGAGTATTTGAGAGAATACTGAAAATAGGGGTATCCAATAAACGACTAAGACAAGACGCAATATAAAGTAAAGTAATAAGATGTAATTGAGAGTACAGATAATCAGTCTAAGGCTATAACTCCACTAATCCTAGGCACAACAGTCAGGGTTACGTCAACACTTTATTCTCAAAGTTTTCTGATCAGTGATAGATATGACAGGTAGGTATAAAAGAAAATTGGGTATTCTTACCCATCGTTTGAGTCTACAGAACCAGTATACACACCAAATGAACGATATTGATACACAACCAGCAGGATTGAGTAAAGTCTTATTATCACTATCAGGCTACCTTAAATATTGCCACTATCAAATAAAAATTTTAGATAGGAACCCCTCTGATGAAAGTCGCTGATGGAAGTGATGGCTCTGATAATTTTGATAGCAGAGAACAGAACTCAACATACTCTGGTAACAGCGAGGATGAAAGCAGCAGAACGGATGAAAATAAAAAAAGAATCAGAAAGCTATTTAGCATTCACAGGCAAATTGATGAGTTGGAAGAGGAGTACAAAATAAAGGAGCTCCTGCAACAGAAATTGGATAAAATAACGCTAAATGGATCACAATATCATGCGCCAGAAAATGATGTGGGTGATAAAGTACTGGAAAAAGAAGAAGAAATAGAAGAGAACCTTGAAAAATACATGGATATTGAGGAAGACGCAATAAAAGACAAAAAGGGGCGATTTATCATTGAAAAAGTCAAAAAGCAGGTTGGAGACTCTCAAAAAGGCAGATTCAGGGTGACTTCAGGCCACGAAGGATCGAGCAAAACAGAGAGTGATTCTGGATGCAATATATCACAAATATATAGAATGGTAGAGATGCAGAACAAACAGATTGATATTCTATTTGATATGATCAATAATGTGTCTGGTAATGATAAATTATTCCAGAAGGAATTCATAGAACTAGCAAAAAAGATGGATGAGGGACTATCGAACATGAAGAAGCAAATCAAAAAGAAGCGTGTGAACAGTAAAATGTAAAATAAAATAATTTTGGTAAAATATTCCTGATTATGAAGAGTGAGTTTTATGAGGATCCATATCATCACGTGATTTATGATAACTTTCTGGATGATAAAACATATATCAGAATAGTACAATTGTACAAGAAAGAACAGTTCAAAGAGTTAAAGACTGATTTATTCAGCTTTTTGCAAACGAATGAGCTGATTGATAAAATCGGATTTTTTACAAAGGAATTGGATAAAATTTTGAAGAAAGAGCCAGGAAAAGAGTATCACTATACTGCATTTGCGAGTTATTACAGAAAGAACGACTATTTATTGTGCCATGATGACTGTGTAGACGGTAGAGAGTATGCATTCACGTATTATCTGGATGATTATGAATCAGGTGAGCTAAAAATCTATGAAAAAGACTGTACTGTATTAAACAAGGCCATTGAAGTAAAAAGAAATAGACTGGTTGTGTTCAGAGTGGAATCAACAAGTTTCCATGAGGTGGCAAAGTGCAACAGTGATGGTAGAAAAGCAATAACAGGCTGGTTGTACTCAAATGATAGAAAGTTGAAGCATCACGTTTTTATGAACAATTTGGAGGAAACACAGCAGAATAACGTTACGTACGTTGATTTGCCTATTGATCCACTAACAAGCGACCAGAATGCCATTCAGGCACTCGATCTATCTGGATTTAAAGAGAATATCATCAAAACAAGGATTCAAGGACCATTCGTTGATAGAAGGGTGTTTGTGCATGAAATAGAGGAATTTGTTTGTTTTACAATTCCAGGACTCACCTTAGAAAAATACTGCTTCTTGGGAATGGATTCAGATAGCTACATACTCTGCAATGACAGAATCAACATGATGAATGACGATCTATGCATCTATGACGGATTCCTGTTCCAAAACAACCACAAATCATTCATAAAATACGTGGATGAAAATGGTCAGGTTGCATTTGCCATAGACGCAGACAAAGGGATGTTTGTCATTCTAAGACGAAACAAATACAAGATATTCATCAGTGGCCCATCAGAACAAGTCAACTTCTACCATTTTATCTACTCGAAATAAAAGACCCTAATGAACAGATTCAACAAAGAAGCTTCTTACAACAGAAAACGAGAGAAAAAAGATGAAGAGGAAATCTTTGAGGAGAATCTGAACAGTCTGAAAAGCTACTCTCTTGAACTAAATGACGTCATCAAGAACCAGAACGAGAAGATTCGCCTAACAAAAAACCCAATGAAGAGCTCACTGACTCGAATCAAAAGCAGCCTATATTCATTACATAGAACAGGAAGAGAAAGCTATGGGAAATACTACAACTACGTCACTGCATCCATAGCACTCTTTATTCTGTTTTTCTTTCTGTTTCTAATCAGTTAGTGACAGTCTAATAGCACGCATAAATCCATCTTTTGAGCTGTAGAAGACGCATCCATTTGTCATAAATCCATCAGTTATCTCGCAGAATGCTGCTTTATCAACGTAACACACTTTCTCTTCTCCGTGTAGAATGTAGATTGAAGCATTGGTGAAAATGGCCGTGAATTCCCCGTCTCTTACGATCTTTTTCAGTGCGTTGTTGAATGGGCCCATTTTCCAACTTGGCTTGAACTCGTCTCTCACATCGTAGGCTGTGAATGTGAATCCTCGTTTGAATACGTAGAGATATTCTTCATCAATCAGAAGCCTCTTGTTTATTGCTGCTGTTTTATCCAAACCATCTCGTACTGTATGAATGAGATCAATTCCAGTTTCATTAATCAAATAAACCTTGACACAGTGATCACTTCCTTGTATTGCTAGCATCTTTGTTGTCTCACAATACGACATTCCTTGTATTGCTCCAGAATGCACCTGATATTCTGCTATTTCAGTATTCTTATTGTTCTCCTTGTTTTGATCAATATCTATTATTCTAATTTCACCTGACATAAATCCACAAATCACCTTGTTCATTCCGATACATAGATCGTAACACGCATTTCCCATTCCCTTGTTCAGTTCTCTTCTCTCCACTTTCCCTTTCACGTCCTTTTCTCTTATTTTCAGTAGAGTCACTGTCCCATTTTCTGTTCCAATTGCCACCAGCAAATCATCACCAAATTCCCTAATTTTTATTGCAGTGACCATTTTATCAAACCCAACAAACTCCCTCACCAGTTCAATTCCCAGACTGGTATTTTTTTCTGTTCTCCTACAGTTCACCTCATAGTATTTGTTCCTGTTTGACACTTTTATGTTCCACACTCTCACTGCACAATCATCTCCACACGTAAACAGATAGTTGCCATAGTAGTCTATTGCACTTATACACGGTTTCTCGTGGAATATTATGTCATAAAGTGTCAATTCAATTGGATGAAATCTATTCACCATAACAGGCATAAAATATTGGAATATTTTCCACTATTCCTCACTAGTCTCTTCCTACTTCCAATCTACGCTTTTACCCTCATATAACCATCTTACCATTTCTCCCATCATCCATACCCCATTAATAGTTATTCATTCATTCATATCATAGTTATTGTTATTCAATATTCCTTTGTTTATTTGCCTAACAAACCTAACCCATATGTTAGATTTACGACACGAAAACGACGTTGAGGAAGACGTAAGCCACAGAAGGGGCTTCTTCAGAAATATCAGAATTGCCCCTGAAGAATACGCCAAATTCGGCCTATTTGGTACCATGTTCTTCTTTATTGGGTTTATTTATGCATTTATGAGAATTCTAAAGGACATGTTTGTGATGAAGAAACAGGATGCATCTTGTTTCAACTTCATCAAGATCTTCTACATTCTACCAATATCATTTGCAGTTGTGATTGGAATCAACTACGCCATGCAGCGTAGATCTGTCTCGAAGATATTCAATGTCTGCCTGATCACATTTGCAGCCCTTTTCTCATTTTTTGGGGTATTTGTGGTATTCGAAGAGCAACTCATGTTTGACTCCAATGCAATCAAAGACAGGTACGAGGACTCCAACAAGCTGCTCCGTGACTTCATGTACACCGTGGCTGAGCCAATTGCCACGCTGATCTACATCACAGCCGAGTTGTGGGGATCAATCATCCTAAGCTACCTGTTTCTGTCGTACCTGAACGAATCGTGTTCTGAGAGACAGCACTCTCGTTTCATTCCGCCTCTCTTCATCCTGACGAACCTGTCTCTGCTGACCAGTGCACTTGTCACGACGTGGATGATCAAAGCAAAGGAGTCGATGGACGACAGCCAGCTCAGGGTCTTCATGGGCGCATTCTTCTTCGTTGAGGCTGCTTTGACCCTTGTGATTTTGGTATTCAAGTACGCCCTAGAAAACAAGGTTCTCGTACGACCAGTATTCGTACCAACAGAAAGAAGGAGCAAGAAGCCAAAGCCAAAGGTGTCATTCGGGGAGTCAATTCGTACGATGATGAAGTCGCGATTCCTGCTCATAATGTGCGGTGTCGTCTTCTTCTACAACGCCCTCTACAACCTGGTTGAAACGGTCTACAAATTTGGAATAAAAGCAGGGGCAGAGGCAAAGAACGTGGACAAGGCCGACTACTCCGCGAAGTTCAACAACATCGACCAGTACATCACGTCCATCGTGGTCATCGCCCTCAACTTCAGCAGCTTCTCGCACCTCGCTGACACGCGTGGCTGGACATTCGTGGCCATGCTTACGCCAATAATGGGCGCAATTTCACTGGTCTGCGTCTTTGGCCTAGGGACATTCAACAGTGCTGCAACCGATGACTCGTTCTCCTTTCTGAATGCAATGGTTCCTGCTGGCTCATCCCACATCTTCTTGGAGAACTTCCTAGGCGTCCTGATTGTCTCGGCAATGAAGATCTTCAAGTTCACTGCCTTTGACGTCACCAAAGAGCGCATTTCAATGCGAATTGAAGACAGGTACAGACCAAAATTCAAGTCGATTTACGATGGAATATTCAACAAACTTGGTAAGTCAGGTGGATCCCTTTACGGTGTCGTAATCAACACGTTGTTCAGCACCATCGATGCCAGGGGAGTTAGTCTCATTACTGGAATCATTGGGGCCGTCTTTGTCTTCTTCTGGATAAGTGGAGTCTACTACCTGGGAGAACTGTACAACGATGCAATCAAGCACCATGCACCAATTGACATCGACTTGTTTGATAAGGAGGAGGCAGAAGTAGAGCCAGAAGAGTCAAAGAACAAGGAGAAGGAGATTGTTGCCACCAAATGACTGTAAATAGCATTTAAAACTATTCTTGCATAAACATGCTTATTTTCTGGTTGTACTTCTGGATGTTTTCATCTGATTCATTCTCAATAGAGCAGGCTGCATTGTATGAGATACAGGCGATGTAGAGGCAGACAGCCAGAGATTGGGCCACGAAGACGCATGTGCACAGCCAGAATGATTTGGTGACTCGCCAGGTGACACCTGAATTAAACACAAACAGGATGAGGAGGGCAGTGACTGTTTTCATAGGGCTAATTTTACTGAAAATAACATTAACCACTGTAAGCAATCACCATAACTAACTACTGTAAGCAATTACTCTACAAATTCTCTGAACCAATTTTATCCCATGTTTTGTGAATGTGGCACATTCATCATCATTACACCAGGTGAATTGATCAATAACTGTCGAAGATGTAGAAAAGTTATCACAGAAGAGAAAATAGCCAGTTTCAGCTACAAGGAAGAGAGACAGCTACTGAAAGATGATGTGGAGAAGGAGGAGAGAGTGGAGAAGGCACGTAGAACTCGTATCTGTCCGAAATGCGGCAACAACGAGATGTTCTTTCACACTCTTCAAACCAGATCAGCTGATGAGGGCCAAACTGTCTTCTACGAGTGTACGGCATGTGGGACCAAAGAGAGACTCAATTCGTGATAGGCACTAACTACCGGTTGATCACCATTCTAAAAATATTTTTGAATCCCTCAATGGAACCAGCACCAAATCAGAGTGGACGTGAGGTTGAGGAAGAGGCCGAGACAAAGAGAAACAAAACAATCAACGCATGGGCCATGATGCAAAACTGCTTCCTGAACACGTCTGTGCTTGAAATTGAGTCGACGATTTCGGTGCTAGAGAGACACACAACCCATCAAATTCACATTTTAATACTGAAAGCACTGGTTGCAATAAAAAGGGGTTCTCTGAAACGCGCCTATGAAATACTCCACAAATGCATGAGAGAATGCAGACAGTACAACGCATTTGCTCTAGAGTGCATGGCAATGTGGAATGGAGCAGTAGGGCGCCACGAGGATGCCCTACGGCAGTACGTGAGACTGTTGGAGAGTTCAAAGCATTCTGTACATAAAGTGGAATACCTAATCAAAATTGCAATTAGCAAAAAGAATCTTGGATTCTACAGCACAGCCATGGAGATATTTGAGCGGATTCTGGCTATACCAGAGGGGTATGCACGTGTTCCAGTGATCTATACACAGATATATCACATATATTTATTACGAGGTGACCTGAACAATCTCAGCTCGTTTCTCTCCCACTACAAGTTTGCAGTAAAAAGCAGATTTCTAAACCGAATTTATGGAGAAATGCTCTACAGGCAGGATAAGAAGAATGACCTCTTCCAACTTGTAGAATCAACCAAATATGACACGTATTTGCACTATTTACAGGCAAGAATGGCCATGAGAGGCTTCTGCTGCCCAGAACAGTATTTTGAGAGAATCTTGAAGCACTCTAACGACAACTACGTGATTCTGAATACGTACGGGAACTACCTGTACAACAAGGGAAGAATGTCAGAGGCACTGGTGTACTATACGCAGTCATACGGATTAAATCCAACATATGGGCCAGTCAAGTACAACTTGTCTCTTCTGAAGAAGCTGGAGACTACGAATCCAGAGGCAAAGGAGTTCTTCAAATCACCAGGCAGCTTTGAGCCAATGGACATGGATCCATTTGTGGAAAAGTGTGGCTTCTTCAACATGGATGTTGAATTGGACAGCCAGGCCTCCTTGCTCAACGAGTCATTCGTGGAGATGTGCGATATTCTGGATCTGGAAGGAAATGATAAATAGATCAACTCATTGAGTCTAAAGAATATTAATAATATTGTGTTAAAAATTTATCCCAATGAATTCAAATTTGGTTAAGAAGAGATCGATGTATCACGGTGTGGAATCAGAGGCAGTGGTGATGATGGCACATCGGAACAAGCATTTGAGACACAGCAGAAAGCAGTGTGATAATGAACACATTATGATATTTGACTTAGATCAATGTTTGTATCATGCACCAATTGTTGATAAAATCAGTGACAGCATTATTGCGGATATTCACTCAAAAATGACTGGAATGCCATCAAATCAGGTGCACGACGAAAGCAAGGGACTCTATTTCTCAGAATTTATGGTCAAGAAACT